GACATATCACTTACTAGTCCCCATTTGGACTATTATTCATCATCACTTTTAAATCCTGTTTAGGATTAATTCACGTTTGCTACATACTTGTTGCGAGTATTGATTCACATTTTTGTGTTATTGTCATCTATGTGGTTGTGTATTATTCGCTTTATGTTCACCTTTGGATCCGTTACAGATCAGACCACGGTCAAACATCCACAGACCCCATGTGGATCTAGCCACATTTTTGCTTTGCACGTTGTGTCACTATATTTATTGTTTTCAAATTTTCTATGCATATATTGGTATAATATGTGATTTACTGTTTGTGAGTAGCGCTGCATCATTTTCTCTTATCGCATTTATTGGATCATTGGTATATGATAGGATGTTGGCAGCTTCTTTCTGATATTTATATTTAATTGTAGGTAAAAGCGCAGGAGGTTCACAACATTATTTCTTAAGTTTTGGAAGAAGCCACTTTTCCTCTGTTTTAAACTAATTTGGCATTAAATAAATGATTTCTTTTCTGTAGGTGTCTTATTAATACTGATCTATTCTTGCATATGAAAATGTACAAATAATGAGATTCAACTATTATACAGCAGAAATGATACGATTATTTAGAAGACATCTGAACCAAAAATTATTTCATTTGTAGGAATATTTCACATTTGAAGAACAGCTAACAGTTAATTGTCAACCTGAATATTATATTTCTTATTTCTCCATCTTTTCCGTTTTCTGCTAAATTACTGTTGAAAGTTAGTTTATATACTAATGACTTGTTTTTCCTTTGTGGTAAAGCCTGTTAATTCTACAGAAATTTAGAAACATCTCAAAGTAACTAGTGCATCCTGAAATGTTCACTTGTAAGAGCAAAGATATACAATGACATTATACAATTTGCTTTTACCTTCCACCTGATCTGTCAAACTAGCAAACTTGATTTTTGTTTTTTCTGGTTTAAACATTTTTCTGATTTGCAGAGTTTCTATTTAAACATTCCCTGCCTAATCATTTGTGTTTTGTTTATTATACACATTATTGCTTTATACAGTACATATGACAGGTTGCATCACTTAAGACTGTGCAGTTTACAATCTAATCACCCAGTAACAGTCGTGCACACAAATGCCAAATTGGACAGCAGCCGGATATGCTGCCAGTAGGTTTTAAAACTCTAGGAGGAAACCAGAGCCCTAGAGGAAACCCCTTAAACACATGGATAACATACAAAGTCCTAACAAATTGTGGTCCATTGGGAATCAAACCCAGTACACCAAAGTTGCAGAGCAGCAGTGCTGAACTGTGAGCTATCATACTGAATCTAAGATTTAAGGAGGCATATTATTGGACATTTAACAGTCAAATAGAAGGTATCATTTTAGGTCACTTTTGCACATTGCCTTCTTAAACTTGAGAGTTTTGTTCCGGTGATGCACACAGTCAGTCACTGGTTGCCCAAGGATCCACTAGTCAGTCATCAATGCAAATGAACAAATCTTAATTATTTGATTATATAATTACTATATTTACCCTTGCATATTATTCAATAACTATTGCTGTTTTTTTCTAATAGTTTTTTTTTTTATTGTGTGTTTGATGTAAATATTAATGGTTTTGTAGGGTGATTTTTACCAATGTACCTCAATTTCAATTTCTGTAAATGTTAGCTTAGATGTACTGTATATCATTGTTATGTAAACTATCATTGACTTATTTTTCCTGGCAAGATAATCTGTTTGTAGAGGTCAGATGAAAGAAGTTATGAAATTATAAAATTGCTTTCCATCCTCAATACTTAGAGAAAAGAATCAGACAAATATAGGATCAATTTCAATATGCACTAGTCAGTTTTCTTTAGCTGGCATGTGCAAAATCAGGCTTACTTCTTCACAGAAACCAATCCGCTTCCAGGTTTTATTGCCAAAGCTTAATTGAACAAGCTGACGTTAGAAGCTGATTGGCTTCTATGCAGATGTGAGCCTGATTTTGCACCCTCCAGCTTTATTAAATAAACCCCACTGATCATACAGCAAGAGTCAGGTCACCAGTACTTTTCAGCATGAAATTCTAAATTTTTTATCATCTCTGTATGCTGTGATGTACTACTGAAATGGTAAATGAATACTCTACGCATGTACTAATGCATGTCTACAGCATGAAACACGGCATGCATTCGTAAAGTATAAAAATGTAAAAGGTAACCACAAATATAAACGAAATCCCATCTCATCCCCTCATCCCCTTTCCTCAAAAAATTGTGAAGATTATATTACAGATTTAAGATTTGCACAAAATAGTCTTCTCTATACCCAGCCTATCCACAGATGGGCAGGGTATCCAATTTGTGGAATCATCTTCTGATGTCAGTGTTCCATTTCTTGTATATCACCAAGCCTGGATTTGGGGAGTAATCAATCAATGAGGCATATACCCAAAGCTATTCATTATTCTTTAGATTGCAAAGGTATCATGAGCAGACCAGGCAGCAAGAAGGTTATTTTGACTTTATCTAAGGCCATTAATTATGCACATGCCAACACACATTTTGGTGTCTCGAATGTTAGACCTGATCCTAGGTATCGTAGTGGAAAACATGCAAAGAAAGAATGCTCCACATATGTAAAACCATAATCACAACATTTAGTATGTTGCACTCACATGTAAGCAAAACATTAGGCATTGATTGACAAAAAAAAACAAAATTTCCAGTTTCCAAAAAGTATGTAGTGTTGCTCCACTCACATGTGCAAACAGCCATTAGGCGACAATTGATTGACTGGATGGAATATAAAAAAAATCTGATTGCCTAATGTTTCCTATATGTTTTCTCATTTTTGATTATTTATTAATATTGTGTTCTTATTAGGCAGGTTTATATATATATCTATCCCTGATCCTGGGAATATTTGACCCTCTGATTCCAAAAATGGCACCGTCAGCTCCCTTTGAGATACATGCATAAAAGGTCACCCATCAAAAATCAGGCTAATGCAGTGTTTGATTTAATCTCCTTGTAGCATGAAAACACATAAAAAGTTGATCGCTATATAAATCCTATTCCTTCCTGAAATGTATTGTAATTGTACTGTCTCCCTTATATTGTAAAGCGCTGAGCAAACTGTTGGCGCTATATAAATCCTGTATAATAATAATAATAATAATAATACATTTAATAACTTACACTTTAGAATCCAATATTTACAATGTAAAATTACAGTTGGAAATACGAAAATACTCTTATTATATCTGCTAACTTATACGTAAAAACACAAACTAGGTAACAGAAGAGAATGTTGATCAGCAAGATCAAACTGTCCAAAGAAATAAACTGTACATTCGTCTAGAGCAGGGGTAGGCAACCTGCGGCTCTCCAGCTGCTGCAGGACTACAAGTTCCATCATGCTTCTGCAAGTCATAGCTGTAAGTGTCAGTTTTGTAATGGTGCAATGCCTCATGGGAAATGTGGTTCCACAACAGCTAGAGAGCCGCAGGTAGCCTACCCCCAGACTAGAGAAACGAGAGCTGATGCAGTCTAGCCAATGCAATGTTCTGAATCAGCACCCCAAATAACCCCAAGAACAGGTCTAAAAAGCAAGGCACCAAGAAAAAATATTGTATTTGTTGAGCTGTGTTATTTACAAATCTCTGGGGGGTAGGGGTTGGGGATTTTCAGTATTTATACTTTATTTTGGATCATTTAATCATTATACCCTTTTTTTGCCTTAATATGTGTATTGGGATTTGTTAGTTAATGTTGTCACTAGTTATACATGGTCAGAATATTAATTACTACAAGTGATTAAATTGCAGTCCACAATCTATTCTTTTAGAGTACACAAAATAAAACAGTGATAGAATTTAAGTGGAATTTTATGAATGCGTGTGAAATTGTTACGGTCAGTGTAAAAACAATTCTAGATTGCTTGCTGCTGAAAGTTGTTGAGACGTAGATGAGACAACATATGACAAAGAAGAAACGTTAGATATGTCTATGCAATTCTGAAGTTGGTAAAATGCTCGTTGTGGTCTTATGAACATAAAGCGCTAAAGTCTAAAATAATGCTACAATTAACCTAACTTTTAATATCCAAGAATCAAAGTGACCTGGTGAAAGAGTGACAAGACCTTTTGGGAGAGGCAGCGTGTGTGAAATTATAATGGCCAAACATTTTATTAAAAGAAAACAAAAAAGGTCCAAAAATAGCCTCGGAAAACTAGGCTGAGAGAGAAACGAGGAGATAGGAGGAAGGAAGGCAGGGGTGGGGGAGAGGAAAGTTAGAGGGGAGAAAGAAACAAGATTTCAAGCTAAAATGATCAGAGCAGAAAAGTGAAAGTGCTGGCATGGGACAGCTCTGTTCAAAGGACTGGCACATCAGAGAGCAACGAGAGAAGTGACTTTTCTTCAGATTCAGGCAGGCATCAGCAGGGCAGGTTAATGAAGGGTCAGCAGCCACAGGAAGTTGGCGGGGTTGGTTTTTTACAGGTACTGCCAAGACGACAGCCTGGATCATTCTCCAGCCTCACAAGGAGGGGAGGCGCTGGAGGCTGCTCTGCCGGGGCTGGATACTGCATGGGTTCAGCTCATTATTGTTGCTCTAGATTAAGCTAAGGAAATTGACTCTTGATTAAGGAAGTCGATGGAAAGCGCTGAACAGGTTTAGACTGGGTCAGAATGGCAATGTGGAAACTGCAAGATGTTGCCTTCTACATGCTTTTCTTAAATCTTACTGTTAATAAAACCTTCCTAGTCCCCTTATGTCTTACCGCACCACCTTTCAGAAAAAAATTGCAAAGAATTCTTTGTTAAATTTCTTGTTGCACTGGAATATTTCAAACTTTGGAGCACAGCTGCACATTGACTTGGGAATACCTCTAAACTTTCTCTTGTATGGAATTGCTTGAAACATTTTTCATTACCTACCTTTGGATACTTGGACTATTATTTATATTGGAATTTTGCAATGAAATTTATTATCCCCGAAGGATTATTTTAAATAATTTTTCTCGCAATGCTGAGATATGTGTTTGGATTGTCATTGTGGATTGTGCTGTGCTTTATAAAGGTGAGTACCCAGCTCACATCAGCTGGTCCTTCTTCCCTTCTTACTCTCCAGGTGAAGGGTGCTGGTGCTGTATATTCCTCTATATTTAGTGTTGGTCTATATTCTAGGTGTGATGTCACTGCACTTGTCTCTAAACTTCCATTGAATGAACCCTATCCTTTATTGTCAACAAATTATCTACTGAGTTTTATCTGATCTCATTTATATTACACTTTAGTTAGATTTATTTAGAATAAATTATTTTTTTTAGACTTTTTAATGACTGTGTAGGCATTATCCTAGTTACATAATAATGTTGATCACCAACAACCTCGCAATAACTAGTGAACTTTTGATTGAGAGGACTATTAATATTTGTAATATTAGCCATATAATGTTGTTCTGGAGGCTTCTTTGTGTCATTCTGTGTCCTTGGATAACTCATGAAAGTTATTTAGAGATAGATTTTTAGTAAGTGAAATTTTTGCTTAATTTGTTTTATTGAACCTTAACGAATTCTTTCTTTCTTTTTAGGACGTGGAGCCAGTGAAATGCACCATCAATATTACTGAGAGCAAATCTTCCGCACAATATCTATACGTAAAGTGGAGTAGCCCTGGGATCACTTGCAATTTCAGTTTGACTTGCAGTTCAAGCAACTTTTGGCAAACGACATGCAATCCCATCCAAAAAAACAATGATACTTATGAATGCACGCAACTTGGACTTGAGGCAGGAACAGTTTATGACATAACTATAGAAGCACAACAAGATGGGGAGACAAAGAATTTTACAAACAAACAGGTATGACAGAAAAGTGCCTGATGCCCAGGCAGCATCCCTTTGGCAGTTATTATGTGGCCCTCAAGGTCCCTGAAGACTGTAGGGTGTGTTTTCCTTATTTAGGTCCTTACTCAGGCCTGTGAAGGAAAAATATTCTTCAGGCTGTGATCTAGTCATAAAATGATTTAGTTTATTTCTTTAATAATATGTTAGTTTTTTGTACTGTCCATCTCTTCTTCTATTTTCTGTATGATCATGACCTCTAAAATGGATTTTGTTAAGAGAAATATCAAATGTGGTTCAAGTCATTTTTTTATGGGGCTATGTGAAACGCAAATGCTAAATGATTTGTAAAGGGGCAGTCATAACATTGAACTCTAGCAGTCTTATGTAGTATGTCTCCAGTCTATGACTGTCTTCTGAAGCATGTCCTCAGCCTCCAACATCTCCTATAGCCTTTGTTGCAGTATTTTTCCATTTCCTGCTATATTTCCATAGGCTCTGACCATCTTTTGTAGCACAACATTAGTCTTTAGCTATCTCCTGTTGTATGTGTGCTGACAGTTTTCAATTACATACATTTGCTTGTTATTGTGTCTAGTACTTTAGAGAGGTCAGGGAATGCACTTCATGCCCCCAGATCAAGAAAGTTGACCACTACTGTTTTATACTATCACTATTACGGTTCTAAGCTGGGTAAACATTGGCGAAAAGTCATCCAGTTCAGCAGGCCTACTTTAGCTCAGTGTGTACAGCTGTCTGTCTGACAGAAGCTGGCTTAACGACCAGATTTTGTTGGAAAACCAGTATCTGATTAGAGCCTGCAGGCAATGGCTCTGAACTCTGAATTCTGGCAGGGGGTATGGGAGAGCCTCCTTGCTGTCAGAATTCAATAGAACAGTAGGTTAGATCACCACACCAACATCACTTGTGCTGGTATGGCAATCTGTCAGTTTTTTTTGTTGAGCCGAAAAAAACCTGTCAGTGTATACCCGGCTTTAGAACTGTCAACTTTGTTTTAAGAAAGGTAAGACTATAACTCTCTGCAAATTCCAAAAGTCCACAGTCACTATTTAGATTCTAGTTTATAGAAGTCAAATCAGTAAAAGGATAAATTGATCTGGTGGCTATGGGTTACTGCACTTCGTGCATAACCATTGACCTATGTTTTAGGTTTTCATTCACTATTATAGATTTTAAGTGCTGAGGTCTTAAAAAGTGTGATGTCGAATAGTCTAAGAATGGACCATGTTGAATTATATTTTAGGACGTTGAAAGAGACAGGTTCGCCTTTTCAGCTTATGCTAGGTGTTATAGGTTTAAAAACACAGAGATGCAAGCTCATGTAACTAGAACTAGTAACTAGAAATATTGCTGCACTGACATTCGTTCTTGCTTTGCAGTGAAATGTCTTTACTAGAAAGTGCATACCAGTAATAATGGCATGGAAAAACATGTGAAATAATATTGCATACTCAGAGATAAGAACAAATATGCTATATAGTGTAGTAAGGCTACTTCCACACTGCTACATTGCAAAAATGCGGTAAAAATGCATATGTGTTTTTGCCGTGTTTGTAACATGTTTTTTGCAGCATTCTGGTGCATTTTTCACCTGTGAATAAAGGACACGTGATTAAAAAATTCACCAAAAATGCAACTGTGGTTGCGTTTTGATGATTTTTGTTTATGTGTTTCCCATTCATGTTAATGGGGTGGTGGATTGTTTTATGTTTTTTTTTACCACACTAAACATGCACCAAAAATGCAGCAAGCAGGACTTTGAAAAAATGAAGCGGACCCTCAACTGACCAATGTAAAGCGTTCCATAGGATTTCATGGTCATGTGTTTTTCTTCCGCTTTTTTTAATGCAAAATAGAAGAAAAACTGACCAGTGTGAAAGCAGCCTAATAGAAAATATCAAATATCAGATAGCAGTTCCATCATGATGGTTCCCTGCAAAACTCTAAGAAAGAGAACCAAAAAAATATTCTAGTACTCTACACAAATAGAAATTAGATCCTCCAGCATAAGCTAGTGATGATTCTTCACTATGCCGGTGTTGAAAAAACGTCACCAATCACAGGAAAAAGATGCAGTGTTTGGGTGTATGGAATATGTATTGAATAATGAGAAACCGCTTTATTTTCATCCATGTTTAGAGTGATCCAATTGTGATTAGTGCCTAGAGTGATCAGAATGTCAATGTATTGGCAACCTTAGTGATCTAACCAACTTCCTCAAAAAAAGGGAAATTCTGTTTTTGATTTACTGTAACTCATAAGATATAGCAGACAAAAGTCTTAGGCCAGGCCTTGGCAATCTTACCCAGAAATAGGAGCCAGCTTTGCAAACCTGGGAGCCAGCACTATGCAAGCTGCATATGACTATTTAGCCGAAAGACACATAGGTGTTGATTTACTGAAGGCAAATAGGCAGTTCACTTTGCAAGAGAAGTTTTAGTTTGCAAGAGAAATTTCCCTACAACTTAGTGAATGTGGTGAAACTTCGTTTTGCAATGAATACCCAATGAAGTGCAAGGACCCTCAATTGAAATCAAGGGGCGCATACATCCTACCTGGCAGCTTCCCCCCCTGCCACTGTCTTTCAAAATACTTTATGCTCCCCTCAGGGTTTTTACATAATCTTTAAGCACCTCCTTCCCCATGGTTGATATCTCCACATACAATGTAGAGGGGCAGGGAGATACCCCAACAGGATCAGCACACACAGCCCAGTGGTCCTTTTACCTCTCCAGCTTCTTGTGAATACTGAAGAGTGTGCTGCTTTCTAAAGTTCCCGGGAAAATCTCGCTCCATGACACAGTGGTGATTGTGCTGTGAAGCATCCAATAGAATGCTTCACAGTGCGTACCTCAAGAATCTGCTATGCTGACATCTAATGTATCAGTGTAAGCAGTCTCAAAGTTCAGACACAGCTCAGGTACATTCGTTCATCCATGATATGATTCTACATAGGAAGAGTTTGCATCTTTTAGGGAAGCGATTAGAGTCGGCAGGGTCAGATGTGAGCTGGGTGTTTCAGGCAATGTATAAGGCAGCATGGAATAACTGAAGCATTAAAAAATGGAAGTCTTAGTCATCATAGTAAATTAGCTTTACAGCAGTTGCAACAATCACCATAAAACAAGGCTCTAATGCAATATATATATATATAGTATATGTACATTCTAAAGGTAAGCAGAGACCATTCTTCCTAAATCCATGCAGTTGGCCAATCAACACCTGGGAAAAATTCTCTCATTCTTGGAGTAATGGTTTGCCTCTGAGCCTGGGACACACCATGGGGGATCCTGGGAAATATAGTTTGCATCTTCAGAATGTCTCACTGTGCTGCCTGCCTAGAGCCCATGCCGAGGACTATAGTGGCTGAACTGCTCTGTGCCTGTTATGAGAGAATGCTGGGAGGTGGGGGACATAGACTAGAGTGAAGCTTCTGCTAAGGACCTGCAGAGTCAGCATGACATTTATTAATTTATTATTTATTACAGATACTTATATAGTCAATTTACGCAGCGCTTTACATATACATTGTACATTCACATCAATCCTAACCCTCAAGGAGCATACAATCTAAGGTCCCTAACTTACATTCATATGTAAACATACTAGGGCCAATTTAGACAGGATCCAATTAACGTATCAGCATATCTTCGGAGTGTGGGAGGATACTAGAGTACCCAGAGGATACCCACGCAGGCACAGGGAGAACATGCAAACACCAGGCAGGTGGTGCCGTGGCTGGGATGGTTACCAGAGATTGTTTTACTTGCCACAGTGACCTAGCACCCATGAATTGTCATTTATAAAGAAAGATGATAAAGTATAAGATATTCTGGTGAGGGTAATAAACAATCTTTCAGAACAAAACTGCCATAGGTGTCATATGTAATAGCTGGCGAAGAGCGCTCCTGGGTATAATAGACACATAGAGGTTGATTTACTAAAGGCAAGTAGACTGTGTACTTTGCAAAGTGCAGTTGCTCCAGGAGCGTACAATCTAAGGTCCCTAACTTACATTCATATGTAAACATACTAGGGCCAATGTAGACAGGATCCAATTAACTTATCGGCATGTCTTCGGAGTGTGGGAGGAAACTGGAGAACCCAGAGGATACCCACGCAGGTACAGGGAGAACATGCAAACACCACAGGTAGTGCCATGGATGGGATGGTTGCCAGAGATTGTTTTACTTGCCACATTGACCTAGCACCCATGACCTGTCATTTATAAAGAAAGATGATAAAGTATAAGATATTCTGGTGAGGGTAATAAACAATCTTTCAGAACAAAACTGCCATAGGTGTCACATGTAATTGTTGGCAAAGAGCGCACCTGGGTATAATAGACACATAGGGGTTGATTTACTAAAGGCAAGTAGACTGTGTATTTTGTAAAGTGCAGTTGCTCCAGAGCTTAGTAAATTAGGTAAAGCTTCACTTTGCAAAGAATACCCAATCACGTGCAAGAAAAAAAAAAAATACAGCATTTTTGCTTGCACATGAATGGATGATGGAAGGCAGCAGATCTTCTGCTCATTTACTAAGCTTTGGAGGAACTTCACTTTGCAAAGTGCATAGTTTATTTGCATTTAGTAAATCAACCCTCTGGTTTCAGGTAGCATACTAGGAGGTAGAAATCAAACATGAATTAAAAGGAACCAAATAAACCATGCAATGGCTTGCCAACTATGCCACTTTTAAAATATGTAGGGGTCTATTTATAAATGTTTTCATACAACTATCACCCAAGATTCACACATTTTTCTAATTGGATTCAATTGTAAAAATGTGTGAATTATTGGTATATGTTGTCTGGCTCTTATATTTAAAAATAACAATTTTAATGCATTAACATTACATAACATTTAAAAATAGATGGGTTTTGAGGAAGAAGAGGGTTTCTTAATGCACAACGCAAAAGCTGATTATTTATCTGTGTGACAGATCTTGAGGGTTTGTGATTAGTGGCCACATTGTAGGATAACTGTGAAAGAAAC